TACAGCTGTTCCCTCACCACAGTGCAACAGTGAAAACGGACCCGTTTCAAACAGTGTCGCGTTCTGAACGTTATTTAAGCGACATACACCGGTATTGCGGTATTTTAAAAATTCATATCATAACAAAAATAAACACCGGTATTCGGTATGAACCGGTATACCGCCCAGCACTAATGTAGATCTGACCCGAGAAAAGAGCAGAGCTGAGGAACCGTATCTTACGGAAATGTCTGGATAAATTCAGTTCCATTTCAGTGAAGTAAAACTCAGGAGCCAGAGACTGTGAACGTAAATAAGCAATGTGCATTTCAGGAGAAATCACTGTGAATGTCAAAGTTAGCTAGTTAGTAATTACTATTCAATCCTAAACAGTCTTTCCAAGTCTTTCCAGTTAATCAATTAAATTCCAGATCAGTGTAACACAGAACACATGCAGATTTCCAGTATGCATGACAAATACAGTAGTTAAAAATCAATAAATAGTAATTGTTTCTTCGTATTATTTGATAAAAATGTAGGTTAAAAAAAACATTGTTCATTGTTTGGAATGTTTCTAAAAGATTGAAATGTCCAGTTTTTTTTTTTGTGATTATAGCATTGTTTAAAGGTTACAAAACATTTCTTACAACTTATTCTCTCGCAAAATGGAACGTTATCTGAACGTTTATTTTTAAAATTGTAAGAATTTTAAGAAAAGTCCAGTTTTCTTGTCATGATCACAACGTTATTTAAAGGTTACAAAAAAGTTTCTTACATTCCACTAACTTTATTTTTTACCCAAATTATAACATTATTTGAACGTTTATTTTTTAATATTCTAAAAACGTTTTGTTTCTTGCGTAACTCAAACGTTGCAAAGGTTACAAAAAATGTGTCTTAGAACGTTCATCAAATACAAATAACATCATAACGTTTTGATCTCAGAATGTCTTCTCTCAACGTTATGAGAACATATATCAAGAACGAAAGCTGGATAACCGGATTCATGTTGAGTAAACGAAGAGCGTGACTTTATCAGGACAGTCAGGCTGAATTTAGATTTTTAACAAAATCAATTAACAAACATTATAATTTCAAGTTTTTTAATTTTTTTAATTTTTGGGTCACACTTGATACCTTCAAAAGTGATGAAGCCTTGAAATGTAACTTTTTTTCTTTTTCAGGAAAATCAGTGGTGATATATATTTTGTTCAATAATATTTATACAGTTTTTATAAGCTGTTTTTGTCCTTTTTGACCACAAAGGTACCAAGTGTTCATTTTTTTTTTCCCGACCCTATGCGAATCACGTCCATGATTTTTTTGTGTGCTCACAAATGCGACAAAAGTGTCACCTCATTCCGATGAAGCTACGATTTTTAGAATTTCAAAATGTAACATTTTCTGTTCAAAAGTGGACGAAGGGGCCCAGATTAAACTGGTTAGAAACAAATATATAAAAACAAGCCAAAAAGCTTTGATACAGAACACAAAGGTGACTATTGTGTCATTATGTGACTATATTATGGCTATTATGAGGAAAAAAATACGACCGGCGAGAGCGTGAAAAATAGCCGACTGTAATAGCCATGTATGCATAGACTGCTAAGTCTCCGCCTCCGACGCTGTAATTACATCGACTTCTTTTCTTGTTTTCTCCATTCACCCTGGTTATTACGCTGCCGATGTGACACACAAACACCTGAAGCCTGCTAATGAAGCACAGAGAGGCTTCCCGAGATCTGTGAGCTGTGATTTCACAGCCGTGTGTGTGGCTGCTATTATTGGCCGTCCTCATCACCTTGAGTCCTGCATTAATCTGGACTCGTGTTGGTCTCTGAACACATTGTGAGCTCGACCCTGACGACACGGCCTCCGTCTCATTGGGTTCAGACTGAATTTGGATGCGCTGAACTGATTCACGAACACGGACGGCCGCGGAAAAACAATACAGCTAACCATCTAATCAGAGAAAAACTGGACATTTTAACGTTCAGTATTAAAAACAAACATTCAAATGATGTTATATTTTGGGTGAGTTAAAGTTAGTTAGTTCTTACGTTGTAAGCGGTGTTGCAGAGAAAGTTACTTTGAAAAGTAACTAAAAAGTAACTTACTTAGTGACTTTTTATGGTAATGCATTCCGTTACTTTTGTATCACTTTTTGTTACCTGGGCTGGGCTTGTTTGTTTGAAAAGTTATATTTTTCCCATCTATAAACGCCCTTTCACACCAAAAGTGAAATTAATAAACAAAGTAACATGCGTTACTTATTTTAAAAAGTAACTATTATTTTAAAAAGTAGTGCGTTACTTTACTAGTTACATGACTTGTGTTACCCTCAACACTGGCTGTAAGAAATGTTTTTGTAACCTTTAAATCACGACATTTTAATGTTTTAGTAACATTTAAAAACAACATTCACAATGCTTTTAGAGCCCAAATTTGTCACCTGGAGGACAGACTCTCCCATAACTGTGTTCAATCAAACGTCACATATTCATCTGTCATTTGGTAATAAACTAGTCGAATAATATTCATGTGACATATCTGCTGTAGTTTATGTATTTACAGGCTTTCTCTTCAGCTGATGTCATGTTAGTAAAGACAGCTTGTTTAAAGTTTCTGCCTTTAGAAAAGAAAATATGCCTGTCAAGAAATTCAAAAACAAAAAGTAAAATGCAATAATGAAGTATGAATAATTGATTTCTTTTCCTCTTGCCCTTTTCCTGACTTTGTTCAAAACATCTAATTTCACTTCTCAGGTACTGTAGATATTTGTACTGGAAAACAAGACAGAAATAGCAAGTAAAAATCATTTTTGCGGCGTGCTGAAGTCGTTTCACGCTTAAAATAGGCCAAGTTTCTGACACCTTTCATCAGAAAAACAAGTTCATGCTGATGCTGCGATGAGATACAGGAGGAACAGACGCTGTATATTAGTTTGTTATAAATCTGTTGTTGAATTTGAGTGATTCTTGCGGCTGCACCGTTTCATGATGACAGTCCGTTTTTGAGCAGGTGGAAGAGAGAAGAAAAAAGAAAAAGTGAAGCCCGTGCATCACTTTCAGGTACATTCATAATCCTGTAAAGCTTTTTTGGCTGTTAACGTTAATAACCTATTTTAATGTTGGTAATAATTTCACCATCACCAATGAACATCTAATAGCCTATTTAGGCCTGAGCGATAAAACGGTATCGATATTTATCGATGGTACTGCTTCTTCGATAACGATATAAAAAATGTTCGATATAGTCACGTGCTATGAGTGATGCAGACAGCTCACACAAACGCATGCTGTAATGCCTCCTGTGATGAGGAGATTGTGAATAAAGAATGAATATTAGTCGAATTTAAAATAAACATTTGCATTTCAATGCAAAAATAGTACAATCCAATGTTAGGTGTGCATCAGTGGAGCACGAGATGCGGTGATGATGATGTAAGTGACGTTGTTGTATTTGAATGTTTTGTTAGTCTAGCCCACGAGACGCGCCGCTGCTGCGTTATTCATAATATTAGAGAAATATAGTAGCTCAATGCGTAGAAGATCTTGAATGGGTTAAAACCCAAACCAAGCCATTCACACAGAACACATATTCAGCGCATTTATTTAGACGGACAAATATGACTGCTGCACTCGAGTCTCACACAAGAGATGTAGCCATGCAAAGTTAAAACAGTTTCAACTTTTAGAAAACACGTTTTTTCCTTTTCACTGCATCTCGTATGTTTTTAAAGGCAGTCTGTGTGATCGGCGATCGGCGATTCGGCTCGTGCGCTGCATTATTTTGCTCATTGCGCCCTCCTATGGCCTCGGGAGGCAAGCCAAAAGTTTAACCTATTTAATCTGCATATAAAACATTAGCAATTAGATATTTGTTTAATTTTTATTTTGTTTTTGACTTAAAAAAACAGTCTGTTTGTCTCAATAAATGTAGTTAATTTAAAAATACAGTGGTTAAATGTAAACTTTTTTTCTATTGCTCTTTGTTTTAAAAAAGGTTATAAAAAATGTCAATAATTATCGATACCGAACGATATGAAACATTATATCGTTGATACATTTTTTAGCTATATCGCCCAGCCCTAAGCCTATTCTCTCTGAGTTTCCATGTTCCCTTACGAAAATTAGCCATGGTTTTAACACGAATAAAACCAAAAATCATGATTCTTGTAGCCATGGTAACATGGTGAATTAGCCATGGTTTTGTTACTTCAAATAATAATTTACAAAGAAGTATTAAAGACAGACCTAAGCCAACAATAGCCTTTCAAATGACTTAAAATGCATTATATAAAAACAATGAGACATTAATGATTGGTTAATTATTAAATATATGGTTTCATTGAATAATGCTGTTAAAATACATAATGTAATACAAAATAAACAATTTATGTACATGCAATAATTGCTGCTGCTACACTTACAGGACGATCAAATCCTTGTTTAATAGTCTATTGACCAAACATTTAATTCAAATATCCACTTAATCTTTAAAACCCCTTAACTGTCACCGTCCCACCTGTGGGACTCTTGGCGCTCTTTTTGTTGTTGTCCTTTTTCTCTATCAAATCTTTAAGTAATCAGCATGAGTTGTATATCATTTGAAAGCTTAGAAGCCCAAGATTCACCCTGTGAAAACCATTTCGAAATCGGACATTGCGTTACCATGGAAATGGTACTTTAAAATCTTTTGGTGGTCTCCTCCCCCTTAGTGGGCAGTGTCAAGTGTCATATTACAAAATGCATTACGCTCTTTTAGAATCAAACCTTTTTATAATCTTGACAAAATACATATCATTGGAAAGGTCTTAGTCTCAGGATTCCATATTCTGAGATA